GTAATCTTTTTTCTAAAATCTTTCTCTACCATTTTTTCAAATACTTTGATGGAGTCTGTTTTCATATATTGTGGGTAAAAGGTAGAAGTGGGATGCAATCCTGTATGTATATAATTTTGTATTGTATCAGGTTGTGTTTGATCCTTATCGGTAAAAAACTTCTTAATGGTAACTTTCCTTATAAATTTGTGTAGATCTATACATACATCAAAATTGGAACTTTTCGAAGTGGGTGCAGCTTTAGACCTTTTTTCAGAAGTGATATATCTTCTAAGCTCAGAGTTTTGGTGGATAGATTGAAAATGTTCACCTCCTCCTTTTCTGTTGACTTGGGTTTTCTTGTTGTTCTGTTTCTTCTTCTGTTTCTCTTATGGACCTTTTCTTCTTCATGTCTGGGGATCTGAAGTCTTCCATCATAAATTTCTTGGGGGGGATCCTCCCCCGTTTTTCTAAAAAATCGTTCTCCATATGTTTATTAGAGGCTAGTTGTTTGTTTTGAGTGGATGCAGTAGCTTGGGTATTGTCGTGATCAGGTAGTGGAGTTCTTGAATTTAAAGTAGGTTGATGTGAGTGATCATTTGATCTCCAATTTCTTTTGTGATAAAGACGGGAATCCTGTTCCCATTGTGGTTGGTCTCTTCCCTGATATCTGTATCTCGTCTGTGTATGACGGTAAGGTTGAAATTGTCCCTGATTATTATGTTCGAATCTCCTGTTGTACTTTGGTCCCTTGGAGTATTGTATGGGAGTTCTTTGGGGGATCGGAACCTCCTTGCGATCCAAATAGCGTTGTGGTCTATGGTTAGTTCCATATGTGTTAGGGGGATTAGGTTTTCGTATATCTCTTCTCCAATTCCTCTGTGTTTTGGTCTTATAGTCATTTTGGTCTCTCATTATTTTCTTCCTTTTGTTTTCTCTAATATTAGATTCAATGTCTTTCACTCTCCTTTCAATTTTATCTAGAAGTTCTATGTATTCCCCATTCTCCACTAGGGGGCGAATGGAAGTTTTAAGTTCTGTTATCTCTAGGTCCAGTTGGGTCAGATCTTTCTTTTTCTCATTGATGAGGAAGACCATCAATAATAAAGATCCTTTATCTAAAAGTTGATCCCATTTCTTCAATAATGTTAAATCATGCCGTTTGTATGTTGATCTCTTGAATAGTCTGAGACTTCTAGGGACTATATTATTATTTACATAGAAGTCTAATGTGGCCACATCCCACCATACTTGTATCTCCTTCTCCATTGCTTTACCCAGTTGGTAGATGAGGGATCTAATATCGGTTTGTTGGTTGGGGGATGGTATAGGGGTTTCATTGATGTTTTGTGTATCTTCCTTGAGAGACCAAGTGTCCATAAAAGATTTCCTATCCATTCTAATCGAGTCGATATTTCTGCTTAGAGCCATAGTCTTTCTCTAAAACCTCAGTAGGTGGAATCAAAGAAAAATGAAATTTGAAGGTAATGGTATGCCTATTGCAACACCCAGAAGTGAGGGAGTCTGACTTATAATGAAAAGTCTCAAAACTGGATATGGGCAGAAATTCCACCAAATATTCTGCCATAAACTGAAAATTGGTTTGGTATGCACCTGAGATTAGGTGCAAGGGGATCCAGGAGTCTCCTGGAATTTCTGCCAATATCCAGTTTTGAGACTTTTCATTATAAGTCAGACTCCCTCACTTCTGGGTGTTGCAATAGGCATACCAGAACCTTCATATAACTGTCATACAGCCTGTTGCCCTCACGGTGGCGCTGTTCTCCAGACTGGGCTATAACTGTCATACAGCCTGTTGCCCTCACGGTGGCGCTGTTCTCCAGACTGGGTTATAACTGTCATACAGCCTGTTCCCCTCACGGTGGTGCTGTTCTCCAGACTGGGTTATAACTGTCATACAGCCTGTTCTCCTCATGGTGGCGCTGTTCTCCATACTGGGCTATAACTGTCATACAGCCTGTTCCCCTCACGGTGGTGCTGTTCTCCAGACTGGGCTATAACTGTCATACAGCCTGCTCGCCTCACGGTGGCGCTGTTCTCCATACGGAGGTGCTGATCTCCAGACTGGGTTATAACTGTCATACAGCCTGTTCCCCTCACGGTGGCGCTGTAATACAGCCTGTTCCCCTCACGGTGTCGCTGTTCTCCAGACTGGGCTATAACTGTCATACAGCCTGTTCCCCTCACGGTGGCGCTGTTCTCCAGACTGGGTTATAACTGTCATACAGCCTGTTCCCCTCACGGTGTCGCTGTTCTCCAGAGTGGGCTATAACTGTCATACAGCCTGCTCGCCTCACGGTGGCGCTGTTCTCCATACGGAGGTGCTGATCTCCAGACTGGGTAATAACTGTCATACAGCCTGCTCTCCTCACGGTGGCGCTGTTCTCCATACTGGGCTATCACTGTCATACAGCCTGTTCCCCTCACGGTGGCGCTGTTCTCCAGACTGGGTTATAACTGTCATACAGCCTGTTCCCCTCACGGTGGCACTGTTCTCCAGACTGGGTTATAACTGTCATACAGCCTGCTCTCCTCACGGTGGCGCTGTTCTCCAGACTGGGTTATAACTGTCATACAGCCTGTTCCCCTCACGGTGGCGCTGTTCTCCATACTGGGTTATAACTGTCATACAGCCTGTTACCCTCACGGTGGCGCTGTTCTCCAGACTGAGTTATAACTGTCATACAGCCTGTTCCCCTCACGGTGGCGCTGTTCTCCAGACTGGGTTATAACTGTCATACAGCCTGTTCCCCTCACGGTGGCACTGTTCTCCATACTGGGTTATAACTGTCATACAGCCTGCTCTCCTCACGGTGGCGCTGTTCTCCATACTGGGTTATAACTGTCATACAGCCTGTTCTCCTCACGGTGGCGCTGTTCTCCAGACTGGGCTATCACTGTCATACAGCCTGTTCCCCTCACGGTGGCGCTGTTCTCCATACTGGGTTATAACTGTCATACAGCCTGTTCCCCTCACGGTGGCGCTGTTCTCCAGACTGGGTTATAACTGTCATACAGCCTGTTCCCCTCACGGTGGCGCTGTTCTCCATACTGGGTTATAGCTGTCATACAGCCTGTTGCCCTCACGGTGGCGCTGTTCTCCAGACTGGGTTATAACTGTCATACAGCCTGTTCCCCTCACGGTGGCGCTGTTCTCCATACTGGGTTATAACTGTCATACAGTCTGTTCCCCTCACGGTGGCGCTGTTCTCCATACTGGGTTATAACTGTCATACAGCCTGTTCCCCTCACGGTGGCGCTGTTCTCCATACTGGGCTATAACTGTCATACAGCCTGTTCCCCTCACGGTGGCGCTGTTCTCCATACTGGGTTATAACTGTCATACAGCCTGTTCCCCTCACGGTGGCGCTGTTCTCCAGACTGGGCTATAACTGTCATACAGCCCGTTCCCCTCACGGTGGCGCTGTTCTCCATACTGGGTTATAACTGTCATACAGCCCGTTCCCCTCACGATGGCGCTGTTCTCCATACTGGGTTATAACTGTCATACAGCCCGTTCTCCTCACGGTGGCGCTGTTCTCCATACTGGGCTATAACTGTCATACAGCCTGCTCTCCTCACGGTGGCGCTGTTCTCCATACTGGGCTATAACTGTCATACAGCCTGCTCTCCTCACGATGGCGCTGTTCTCCAGACTGGGTTATAACTGTCATACAGCCTGTTCCCCTCACGGTGGCGCTGTTCTCCAGACTGGGCTATAACTGTCATACAGCCTGCTCTCCTCACGGTGGCGCTGTTCTCCAGACTGGGTTATAACTGTCATACAGCCTGCTCTCCTCACCGTGGCGCTGTTCTCCATACTGGGCTATAACTGTCATACAGCCTGCTCTCCTCACGGTGGCACTGTTCTCCAGACTGGGTTATAACTGTCATACAGCCTGCTCTCCTCACGGTGGCGCTGTTCTCCAGACTGGGCTATCACTGTCATACAGCCTGTTGCCCTCCGCGGTGGCTGTTCTCCATACTGGGTTATAACTGTGATTACCGTGGCGCTGTTCTCCATACTGGGCTATAACTGTCATACAGCCTGCTCTCCTCACGGTGGCACTGTTCTCCAGACTGGGTTATAACTGTCATACAGCCTGCTCTCCTCACGGTGGCGCTGTTCTCCAGACTGGGCTATCACTGTCATACAGCCTGTTGCCCTCACGGTGGCGCTGTTCTCCATACTGGGTTATAACTGTCATACAGTCTGTTCCCCTCACGGTGGCGCTGTTCTCCAGACTGGGTTATAACTGTCATACAGCCTGTTCCCCTCACGGTGGCGCTGTTCTCCATACTGGGTTATAACTGTCATACAGTCTGTTCCCCTCACGGTGTCGCTGTTCTCCATACTGGGTTATAACTGTCATACAGCCTGTTCCCCTCACGGTGGCGCTGTTCTCCATACTGGGCTATAACTGTCATACAGCCTGTTCCCCTCACGGTGGCGCTGTTCTCCAGACTGGGTTATAACTGTCATACAGCCTGTTCCCCTCACGGTGGCGCTGTTCTCCAGACTGGGTTATAACTGTCATACAGCCTGCTCTCCTCACGGTGGCGCTGTTCTCCAGACTGGGTTATAACTGTCATACAGCCTGTTCCCCTCACGGTGGCGCTGTTCTCCAGACTGGGTTATAACTGTCATACAGCCTGTTCTCCTCATGGTGGCGCTGTTCTCCATACTGGGTTATAACTGTCATACAGCCTGTTCCCCTCACGGTGGCGCTGTTCACTCGCTCTCTCATTCTCCGCTGATTCCCAAAGCTTCAATGCGCCTGATGTCACGAGGTCTACGTACTTAGCTCACCTTCTTACGCCAATGGCGCAGGTTCGCAAGGTCACGCAGTTTCCGTAGCTGGAGTTCACTGACCTGTGACGTGTTACGTAGTTAGCGCCTCCAGGTCGGTATTCCCAGCGATAAGTACGCCGGTTGTGTTGTAGCCGCCCCGTTCAGTTACGCTGGTTGCGCAGTTGTTCCTGAGGTCACGTTACTCGCCATGTTTCATGTCAGGGTTGCCCGGCTATTACCAACTCTGCTGGGAGGCCGAGCCCTGCACCGCACACAGGGACACCCCGCGGCCAGGGTGGCAGTGGTGGGTTTATAATGGGGGTACAGTGTGTAATATGGGGGGTACAGTGTGTAATATGGGGGGTACAGTGTGTAATATGGGGGGTACAGTGTGTAATATGGGGGGTACAGTGTAATATGGGGGACAGTGTGTAATATGGGGGGACAGTGTGTAATATGGGGGGGACAGTGTGTAATATGGGGGTACAGTGTGTAATATGGGTTGACAGTGTGTAATATGGGGGGGTCACAGTGTGTAATATGGGGGGACTGTAACATATCACCTGTTACCCCGACTGGGTACCTCAGTTGAAGGATGCTCCTAGTGCTTACAGAGGGCTCCAAGCACTCCAGCCGACACCATAACCACCGTAGACTCCTTCAGAGAGCAAGACAGGAACAAGCTCTTACAAGAGCTTAGCAGTGATTTAGCAAGGGAGTATGACAAGCATAGCAATCCCTTGTAGCAGATTCCCCCAATAAGAGACGGCACTCCAAATTGAGGGTGAAGTAGAACTGCGATGTTAATGAAACACTCTGCTTTTATGCACATTTTACACACCTAGTACCGCCCACAGGGTTTGTAAAACAACCAATCCAGCACGTACATTATAGTAAAACACTCCCATTCATTCCCACAAAATCCTCCCCTCTGCCTGTGAAATAATTACTGAACACAATGGGCTAACGTAATTATCACAGGCAGGAAAAATATACTTTTTATACATGTATTGTAACTTTAAAACTATACATGCCATTCACATAAAACATACATTTTCAGAATCAGCATACTCCAAATATGAACACGAAAATCATACAAATCCCTCCAGTAGATAAAAAATTAGTCGGAAGTCCTTTGTGACCGACTGCAAGCACATTTTCCTGCCCAAAACAGTTCCATAGATTTGGGCTGTGCGGTCGGTCAATTTCACACTGAAAAATGGCTAAGTCCCATTCGAATGCACGAACGGGGCCGTTCGTGCATTTGGCTCAGTATAACCGTGAGTTCAAACTGCCGAACGGGACTTAGTCTCTGTAGCTGAAAACTGAGTGGAGAAGAAGGTAGGGGTCAGCGGTGTTCGTTGAAATGTGCAGCCGATTTCAGGTCCATGAATTTGGCTACACATACCGCTGACCACGTGCGAATGAATAAAGATGGCCGCCGCCACGTGTTAGTTTGTACGAACGGCTGCCACCCAGCGGTCAGCAATTTACCTACAGCAGGCTCCCAGCCTGGGAGGTGAATTGCCTGCTCACTTCCATTTCTGAGTGGTCCGCCTGTGTGGTACTTGGTTCAGTAAGTTCCAGTTACTGAACCAAGTGGGAGAAAGCCAGCCCTTTAAAGTATTTTAAAGGGCTGGGGACATAGTCATAAAGGGTCATTGTCACACAAAGTCTCAGTATGTCCCCAGATGGTTCTTAAAGGGCCAGCACGGTCTAATACAAGTCCATAAGCCCAAATGTAGTCCAATAGAAGTCCAAAATGGGCCATACACAGTCCAATAGAAGTCCATAAGCCCCAAGACTGTTGTTAAAGGGCAAAATCTCCCAGGGGCCATAGTCAGAAGGTAGGAGGCGGGCAAACAGGCCCCTCCAAAAACCAGTGGTGAGGTCGCTTTCGTCACAGGGACTGTGTGTAATATGGGGGGACACTGTGTTAGATGGGGTGACACAGTGTAATATGGGGGGACAGCGTGCAATATGGGGGGGGACAGTGTGTGATATGGGGGGACAGTGCGTTATATGGGGGGAATGGTGTGTGATATGAGGGGCAGTGCCTAATATGGGGGGGACAGTGCGTAATATGTGCCTACGGTGTTTGATACGGGGGGTACTGTGCTTAATATGGGAACACTGCGTGATATGAGGGTACTGTGTGTGGTATGGGGGTTACCGAGTGTAGGTAGGGGGTAATGAGCATAGTATGGTCGTTCCGAGCATAGTGTTGGGGTACCAAGTATCGTATGGGGGTACTGACTTTATAATTTAAGAATACCGTGCATGATAATGCGTATGGAAATCCTGCCTTAAATGGGAATGACCGCATGAGCTTTTTACCCCATGTGTGTCCTAGGCATTCATCATTGATGTTTAGAGGGAACTCTGCTTAATGTTTGCTCTCTGTTCAGGTCCTGTCTGGCTGCGGTGTTTACGATGGGTCCGAAATCCATGAAGCATCTGCGTGAGTATTCTCAAATGTATTGTGAGCAGGGTAATGAATTTATCACGTCCATACTTTATTAGACTGACCATGGCGACTATTCTCTGAGCCATCAATATACATACTGCGGCAGATCCACTGCGCGCCATACTTAGCTGAATATTATTGTGTCACATGGTCTTATGGAGGTAAAAAAATATAAATTTATTTACTCCAACATTCCCGTTACCCCAATGTGTGCTGCGAGGTAAGGCAGAGATTAATGTATCATTTCTCAGCTAGAACCCTATCATTCCCCGTTACCCCATAGTGTACTGTGAGGAAAGGCAGAGATTAATGTATCACTTCACAGCTTGAACCCCAACATTCCCCATTACCCCATCGTGTACTGTGAGGTAAGGCAGAGATTAATGTATCACTTCTCAGCTAGAACCCCAACATTCCCCGTTAACCCATCTCGTGCTGTGAGGTAAGGCAGAGATTAATGTATCACTTCTCAGCTAGAACCCCAACATTCCCCGTTACCCCATCGTGTGCTGTGAGGTAAGGCAGAGATTAATGTATCACTTCTCAGCTAGAACCCCAACATTCCCCGTTAACCCATCTCGTACTGCGAGGTAAGACAGAGATTAATGTATCACTTCTCAGCTAGAACCCCAACATTCCCCGTTACCCCATCCTCTTTTCTTAACCCAGCTATTTCCGTCCCAGATGCGATGGCTTTTTGCTTTGTACTCTCTCCGCAGAATCCTTGTCCACCTGAGCCGTGCGGGGGCCGATGTGAAGATCTTTGCTCCAGATACCTCTCAGATGCATGTTATTGATCACAGTAAAGGTCAGCCCACACAGGAGAGCAGGTACACATCCAGCGCGCAGGATTCATTGTTTCACTAGAAACCTTGTTAATAAACAGTATGTGTACAATGGTTACCCAATAGTGGTGTTCTGATAATGATTACAGCACTGGACGGGCTCATTTGGCAGCGAGAGGAATTTGCCATTTTTCCGATCTCAGGAAAAGGTTTGTAAATGGGGTTCCCTCTAGCCAGATGTGAAACTTTCAGATTGGTGATTACTTTGTATAGTGCGCTTACAAATGTAATTAAGTTAAAAATAAGCAGCTACACACTCTAGTGGATACTCTTATCCCCACTAATTATAGAAATGAACCAAAGTGAGCTTAGTACAATCTGGATATAACGTCCAGACTCTACTAATCAAATGAGTGGAGCGTTAAAGGTATAAACTTACCCTCAAATAGGGTTAAATCTCAGATGTATATCAGTACATATAAAGGAAACAAAAAAATAAAACACCATATATTGTAAATCCACAGGTGGTAATGTATTTTGGTGATAATTCAAGTAGTCAAACTCGCATTGATCGGAGCCTCAAAGGGACAGGCTCAAATCACTTGCACAGTAGTGTCGTATGGAGACACTGCACCCTTTTGCCTGGAATGGATTTCCTCAAAGGAGAGAGAAAGGCAGACTTCCTAGTGTATTAAGTATCAACCAAAATTTAAAAAAAAAACAGTGGTTATGGCTGTGCTCACCTTTTCCTGAGCCAATGAGAACCTGGCTCTGGATGCTAGACCTGGGTACCTCTAGAGGGAGGCACCTGCCCTTCTTTAGCAGCAAGATGAAGTTAGAAGCTGATGGGACTTGGTTTAAAATACATACATTTATTGCAACTTTAAATATAAAAACAAGAACATAGAATTAGCGCCAGTCCCGAGACCGATTGAAAAAGACCCCATAGTGTGGGTGAAACGCGTCTCGGGACTGGCGCTAATTACTGGGACATTCTTTATCTTATATAGAAGCAACTGGATATTTTTATTTAATTCTATGTTTTTGTTTTTATATTTAAAGTGATGTGAATGTGATGCATACTTTTAAAGTTATGAATAATGTGGAAAAATTGTATTTCTCTGCCTGTGATAATTATATTACCCATTGTGTAAGGTGATTGAATCACAGGCAGAGGGGAGGAATTTGTGTGGGAGTGTCTGAGTGTATTGTATGTGTTTATTGGTTGTGTTCCAAAACCCTGTGGGTGGTACTAATGTGTAAGAATGTGTACATAAGCACAATAAACCCACAGCTCTGGCTGTTCACTGCTTGACCCTCAACACAGAGATTTGTCTCGTTCTTGGGGGGATTTACTGTATGCTGTTCCAGTTTGACTGCTAGGAGTGTAAACCTATTCGTATGGTTTTTCCTATTCGGCTGTTTACGGCATTCGTATGGTTTCTTGTTCGGCGGATTGGTGTTCTGCAGTAGCTGTGCCTGTGTCTCTGGAATGGAAGATCTACTAAACGGCGGTTTAACCCTTTTATGCCCGGGGTGCCGTTACACTGTCCCTTTGAGGCTCCGATCAATGCGAGTTTGACTACTTGAATTATCACCAAAATACATTACCACCTGTGGATTTACAATATATGGTGTTTTATTTTTTTGTTTCCTTTATATGTACTGATATACATCTGAGATTTAACCCTATTTTAGGGTAAGTTTATACCTTTAACGCTCCACTCATTTGATTAGTAGAGTCTGGACATTATATCTAGATTGTACTAAGCTCACTTTGGTTCAGATGTGAAACTTTGCACAGAAAATTCATCTGTATTTTTCCCCAGACCTCCTGGCTATACGCCTTTTAGTGCTGCTACACAGGCCTCTGATGGTAATTGACAATTAGAATTCAGGAGATAATTATTCTGCTTAGAGTCATAACCAGAAAATAGCACTAATACTAATCCAGAGGGGAATAGTTACATAGCTGAAAAGAGACTTGCGTCCATCAAGTTCAGCCTTCCTCACATATGTTGTTGCTGTTGATCCAAAAGAAGGCAAAAAACCTAGTCTGAAGCGCTTCCAATTTTGCAACAAACTAGGGAAAAAATTCCTTCTTGACCCCAAAATAGCAGTCAGATGTCTCCTTGGATCGAGCAGCTATTACCCCACTAATTAGAAATTTTATCCCTGTATGTTATGTTTTTGTAAGTATTTATCCAATTGTTGTTTAAACATCTGTATGGACTCTGATAAAACCACCACTTGAGGCAGAGAATTCCATATCCTTATTGCTCTCACTGAAAAAAAACCTTTTCTTTGCCTTCGATGAAATCTCCTTTCTTCCAGTCTAAATGTGTGACCTCGTGTCCTATGTATAGCCCTGTTTATGAATAGATTTCCAGATAAAGGTTTGTACTGGCCCCGAATATATTTGTATAAAGTTATCATATGCCCTCTGAGGTGCTTATACAGATTGAGAATGCTGAGTGTATTCCCTACAAAGAAAGTCCAAACATGACTGGTGCACCTTCAGCTGTGTAAGGTGACAATACCAGACCTATAGACATTATTTCTGTGACAGACGTACAGCAAGATCAACCTAGAATCCTGACAGTCTCTCCTACTTCGTCCTGGACTTCTGTCAGGCTGGATTGCAAAGTCAAGATGGGCACAAAGAGTATGAGATCTCCAGTATGCAAATTCTGGGTACATGGGAGTCCAGATCTGTTGCTATTTACTTTCCGGGACTCCCTTGAGTCCCTTGAGTGATTGATACTGTAAAGGCAAAGTGAAGAACTGGATTCCCTGTTCATTTTGAACCATCTCTTTGTGTAAATAATTGATATATTTATTTCTATGTATGCACTGTGACCTTTATTAAGTTCTGCCATTACCTGAATTTAATGATAAAGTTGACTTGAAGTTGTATCTGTTTCGGGGAGTATTGAAGGCACCCCATTTATAAATTGCCCTGGTGGTGGCAGCTTTTGATACAATAGTTGAGTATAGGTGTAGTTGTTTTTTGTTTTTTTTTCTATCATTATTTTTGGTCTAGTGCAGATGGTAAATCACGATTGATTGTTTGTTGTGTGTTTTTGTATTGTTTGTTGTCTAATGGTGCATGAGTATTGGGAATTTTCCTTTGGTATATATCAGACAAAGATAAGTACAGCAGTTTGTCTTTGACACAGGCCGGTGAACGTATGGTGACATACAATGTTACATAAGATTGCATGACAAACAGATATTTTCGTTCTGACTGTAATTTATTTCCAGGAACGTGTTGGTGGAGTCGGCTCGAATCGCACGCGGTGACATCACAGCTTTGTCCAGTCTGAACGTGCAGGATCATGATGCGGTCATATTCCCAGGAGGATTTGGAGCAGCAAAGAACCTGTGAGAATTATGGGACTTCTGTTCAGAGGAAGACCCCACTCAGACCTTCTGCTAATAAAAAATGATGTTTCTGTCTATCGGAATGAATATTACTGTGTAAATCCAGGATTCATGTGAAAGATGTATTACTCTTGGCTGGGTGCTGCAGACATAAATTACCTCCGTCTTAGTAATAAACGTGTGTTATATTAAATTTGGTAATAGTAACATCCCCTGGATGTTGGGCAAAAGTAACATCCCCAGGACGTACTTGGAAATCAAAGCAATCTGAATGTACCTTTTGTGGTTAAATACTTTGTTGTTATTATTATTTTTATGATGATAATGATGATTATTATTATATAGGCTGCTATACAGCTCTGCAATGGAGCGCAAACCCTAGAATGGTCTTCATGCTGTGCAGCTGCGCGTGAGCTGGGTCGGGTGGCATATTCTGTGTTTTCAAGGTTTCTACCTGACCCAATTCCATATCTCTTACCCCAGGTCCTCTTTGATTTATTAAATTAATTTTACTCCGTGTATTTCACCAATATTTAAATTGTCACCTTTTCTGTGTTTTTGTTTTTTTTCTTTTGTCCCACATTTACAATTATTACTTAATCATTATATTTACGTATAATTTCCCACAAAGTAGAGGGATCTCCCAAGGAGGGCCATTCTTCAGTTGGAGTTGTCGGGTTAGCCCATAATGTAATTGTATGGGACAGTGGGGTTACCAGGGGACTATGACTATATAGTACAGTTATTTTTTTCTTTGTTTTACAGATCCTCCTTTGCTGTGGACGGGGAGTCATGTGGCATTAATTCAGATGTGGAACGTGTTCTGAAGGATTTTAACAAATCAAAGAAACCTATTGGGTAAGACAACTGGATTTACTCTTGTGTCTGAAGCGCACTGCCCAGCCTGGCTCCCGCCCTGTGTCCATGGCGCAGTGCCCAGCCTGGCTCCCTCCTCGTATAAAAGGTGCACTGCCCAGCCTGGCTCCCTTGCCGTGTCTGAGACGCACTGCTGAGCCTGGCTCCCTCACAGTGTCTGAGGCGCACTGCCCAGCCTGGCTCCCGCCCTGTGTCCATGGCGCAGTGCCCAGCCTGGCTCCCTCCTCGTATGAAAGGTGCACTGCCCAGCCTGGCTCCCTTGCCGTGTCTGAGACGCACTGCTGAGCCTGGCTCCCTCACAGTGTCTGAGGCGCACTGCCCAGCCTGGCTCCCGCCCTGTGTCCATGGCGCAGTGCCCAGCCTGGCTCCCTCCTCGTATAAAAGGTGCACTGCCCAGCCTGGCTCCCTTGCCGTGTCTGAGACGCACTGCTGAGCCTGGCTCCCTCACAGTGTCTGAGGCGCACTGCCCAGCCTGGCTCCCGCCCTGTGTCCATGGCGCAGTGCCCAGCCTGGCTCCCTCCTCGTATGAAAGGTGCACTGCCCAGCCTGGCTCCCTTGCCGTGTCTGAGGCGCACTGCCCGGCTCCTTCTTTATTTCATGTGACAAGTTTACCTGCAGCCTTGCGTTGTCATGTCTCTTCCTTTTTTAATTGTAGCTTGTGCTGTATCGCTCCTGTCTTGGCTGCTAAGGTTATCCCTGGGGTGGAGATTACCGTGGGGCAAGAAGAGGAACATGGTGGCAAATGGCCATATGCAGGCACCGCAAAATCCATCAGCGCTCTTGGAGGTAAACACTGCGCCAAGGACGTGCACATATCCTTTTCAGTGGGAACAACACAGAAAAAAGGTGTGAAAATTAGTGGCTCTTATTTTTATATAATAAAAAGTTTTTTTTTTAAGCTGCTATAAAACACTCAAAAGGGTCCTCCAAAACCCTGGGCTGGGCTGGGCTGGGCTGGGATGATGGGGGTCAGAGATGAGGGTTGGGGCTGTGCTGTGCTGGAATGATGGGGGTCAGAGATGAGGGTTGGGCTGGGCTGGGATGGTGGGGGTCAGAGA